CAGCCAAACTCACTGGCCATCTTCGGTCCTTTATTAGATGCTCCTCCCCTGCCAGACACATTCAAGGCTGTGTGCCAGCTCTTCCCCATCACCCCTGCCCAGGAACCCCATGTGGCCCATTTGGTTTCTTCCATGTGCCCTCCATCCAAAGCCCATTTCCACCCTTGGCCTCCCTCCATCCTGTGTACTCAATGTCTCCACTTAGGTGTCTGGTGGACATCACAAGCCAGGGGTGATTCTCACCCCCAAACTCACTGTCACTGTACTTGTTACCACTTCCAGGCACCCCACTGATTAGGCAAAAAATATAGAAGTCACCCTCGATTTATTTCTTTTTCTGTCATCCCACTTCCACTCAATCAGATCCATGACTCTAGTTCGAATTCCTATTTCCACGTGGGTCATTTTCCCCACCAACCGAACCCAGGCACCCTCATTTCATCCTTAACCCGACTTGGGCAGCAGACCTAACTCGCCTCGCCATTTCCACGCGGAGCGCCTGGCCGAAGCCTTTAAGACTCCGCCTGACCTCCCTTCTGCAGCTGTGCTCTAGGCTCGGGTATTTGCCAGCGACCCGACAGCGCGATCCTGCCCGTCTCGCTCAGCGCGCGCACCAGCCCGCGGACCGGCCGGAGCCTGCATTGCGGAAGCCAGAGGGATTTCGGAAAGAGGGTGCCGAACTCCAGGGGCGCGGGATGTTGTAGAGTTTTGGCCACGCCCCTCTCTGTGGGCGCGCCCCCTCTGTCCCCATCCTGCCCGAGGTCAGCCACGGAGCCTCCTGGGAGATGTAGTTTCCACCCTTCGACTTCCCTTTCTCCGAGGCCGCTGCTGGCCAAGCCGGGACTGCGATTCCCAGAAACCTCCCCGGTCCGAAAGCCGCGCCCCCTCCGCCGAGGGCTGGGAGTCCTGGTGTCCGGCGGTGTCAACCGAGTTCAGTGACCACCCCTACTCCCATCCCCACCAGGTGGCCTGTGTTCTCTCCAACATCCCAGCCACCGGGAGAGGAAGCCTTAAAGGCTAGTGCCCCACAGCACCGGTCCTCCGCAGATGGAGCCGCACATCTGCGCTGGCTCCAGCCCAGGGCCCCTGGGATGGGTCCCCTGTCGGACCCGAGCCACCGACCGCGGGGTACAGGCGGCCTGCAAGTCGCGGTGGTAAAAGCTCCCCAGAGGTTCGAAAGCCAACAGCGGCTGATGTCGAGGAAGGAGAGGGTTGTTTCAGGCAAGTTTCTCGAGGAGGGAACACGTAAAAAGTGAATAACCGTGAATTAATCCCTGTCTTAAGTGAATGAAATATAGTTTTCTGATAAATTTATTTTCATGGTTCAAAATTTCAGAAAATGTGAAAAGTCAAATCATTTGCGGAAAGTCAAATATATTCATAAGTAAAATTTGTATTGCTCACAGGAAACGCAAGGAACCAGGGGACTGGGCCACAGTCAAGGGATGGGCTGTGGGAGGTGGGACATCCCTATACAGGTGAGAACATAGAGGGCCACGTAAACATGGCAAGGAGTTTGGATTTTATTCAAAGTAAACGGAAAGCAATTGAAGGACTTAAAGTAGGGGAGGGCAATGGGATGAGTTAGGTTTTCAAAATATCCCTCCCCCCCTTTTTTTTTCTGGAAAATCAACTGTAGGAGGACAAGAGTCTAAGAGAGAGGAGGTAGTCTCGTGCATAGTAAGGAAATACGGTGGCACAAAGGGATGTGGAGGTTTTGAGGTGAACAGGCAAGGCCTTCTGAATAGGATGTCTGGGAGGAGGCAAAGGCAGGAATCAAGGGTGTTGCCTAGGTTTTGGCAGGAGCCCCTGGGTGGATGGTGATTTGAGAAAGGCTGGGGAGAACAGGATTTGGGGGAGAGAGCAGGAGTTGTAGTTGGCACAGATTTAATTTGAGATGCCTATTAGACATCCAAGTGGGGATGTTGGTAGTTCCCAGAAGAGTCATGAAAGAGATATGCACAAATGTGTCATTAGAATACAGTTGTATTTAAGGCCAAAGAAGTCATAAAGATAACTTTGGAAGAGAATAAATGGAGGAGGCTCTAGGAAAATATGCCCTGGGGCACACCACATGTAGATAAAAAGGAGCCAATAAATTGAATCTGGAAACAGTTCAGAGTGGGCCTAATGTGAAGGGGGGTGGGGGAGCACAAGGCCTCTAGGGCTCTTTCTGCTATGACAATAGCTGGGTCTGTAATTCTGTGAAATGACTACAGATACCAAACAGGGTGGAAGCAGGAGAGGGTGCACCCCACCCTGCCTTTTTGGAACACAGATTTTCTCACTGCAAAAAATGGCTCCCCCGTTGAGCTAAACACTGGTGAAATGATTCCACCTTAACTGTCTCACCTACCTAACTAGTTCCTCTCTGTCCCTTACAGAGGCATGGCAGCCCCACATCCATGCCTTTGTGCTCCACCCTCCACCCTAAACGAAGCCCCTGGTAGTGAAAGGAATTTTAGAGACAGGACAGGCAGTTTTAGGGAAAAGGGGGTTCATGGGAGAGGAATGCATATGTGAAGGACAGAGGTAGCTCCAAGACACCAGAATGCTTACCTTACTTTCACAGAGGATAGAGGAGGATAGAGAAATGTTACAAGAGGAAGACATACTTTCACAGAGGATAGAGAAATGTGACAGAAGATATAGGAATGTTGCAAGATGAGGGAGAGAGAAAAAGGGGGGCACCACGTGGGCTTTGACCTTTGAAACTGATACTCTGCAGAATGACCAATTAGGAAAGCACAGGGATCATAAATGGGGAAGGGGTCCAATTAGAAGGGAGCATAGATAAAGAACTTCCAGCCTTTAAAACTTTAGACAAAGGGGCTTAGTTGGTTACCCCCTTGAGAACCCCTCTCTATGTGGGAATATGTATTTGCTTCCAATAAATTTCCACACTTTTACTAACAAGTTCTTTTAGTCCGAGAATTTTATTCTTTTTTAAAAAATATATATTTTATTGATTTTTTACAGAGAGGAAGGGAGAGGGATAGAGAGTTAGAAACATCGATCAGCTGCCTCCTGCACACCCCCACTGGGGATGTGCCCGAAACCAAGGTACATGCCCTTGACTGGAATCAAACCCAGGACCCTTCAGTCCGCAGGCCGATGCTCTATCCACTGAGCCAAACTGGTCAGGGCGAATTTTATTCTTTAATCTTCATGAGGCAAGAACCCACAAGGAGGAGAGTCTGGGCCCTGAACTCCATGTATCATAGGAGGTTCTGGGGGTGTCCAGCCCAAGTGCCCTCAGAGTCGACAATTTCTTTGCATTCCCAATGTGCCCTGGGCGCATTCCTGCAAACACACACACACACACACACACACACACACACACACAATCCCATGTATTATGAGGTTTTTCCACTCTAGTTAGTGGATATAGGAACCATTCCTGATAAGAGACTTTTTACTCCAGTGCTAATGGGATCTCACCTGAAGATTCCAGGGCAGTGGTTCTCAACCTTCCTAATGCCGCGACCCTTTAATACAGTTCCTCATGTTGTGGTGACCCCCAATTTCATTGTTACAAATTGAACATAATTAAAAGCATAGTGATTAATCACAAAACCAATATGTAATTATATATGTGTTTTCCGATGGTCTTAGGCGACCCCTGTGAAAGGGTCGTTTGACCCCCCAAAGGGGTCGCGACCCACAGGTTGAGAACCGCTGCTCCAGGGGAACCCCCTGCAGATCTAAGAAAAGCAGCATTACTTTCCTCACAAGCTGTTGAGAGGTTCAATAAAATTAACATTTGCAAAACACCTAACCAGTGTCTGGCCCCAAACTGGCACTGACCATGAAAGAACGCCCAGCCCTTAGAAAAATCATAGAACTTTAATTTGAGCCAACTTTTGAGGACATGCCCGGAAGTGAAATCTTACGGGACTGAGATAATGCTCTGGGTAAGGGCAGCTTTGCAGTCTGTGTTTTAGACATTACAATCAAAGGAGGAAGCATAAGGGGAGCTACGTGACATCATTGGTGGTAGATGGGGGAGGCAGGAGAAGGCAAAGCAGGGGAAACTCTGAGATTGGATGAAAAGTAACATGGAGAGACACATACTTCATGTACACATACTTCAATCAACACGTTCAGCACACGGGGATGGTATGTGTGGGGAACCAATCTCCAGTGGGAGCCTGTGCCCTGAGGGTCGGGGAGAAGGACTGCCCGGGTATATAATCCCGAAGGTGTATTATCATTGTCATCGATGCAGAAAGACGGCGGACAGGCTCAGTTGGGGTCAAGATTGACGTCTGTCAAGAAGATACCCACCTAGGAAGTTTTGCTTTCAGGCCACCCCGTGTGGTCACTTAGGTCTGAGTTTATGAGGCCCCCGCGCAGTCCCTCCCCGGGGCTGCCCCTTCCCGTCCACACTCGGCGGAGAACAGAGAGGTCCGGCTGTGCGCGCCCGGCCCTCCCTGGGCACAGGCTGCTCTTCTGGGACATCACGGCCTTCTGTCCCGCTCCCCGCACCTGCCGGAAGGAAGGGTGTGGGCAGAGCGGGGATGCCTCCTGCCCCTCTGGCATCTTAGGGGGTTTCAGTCCTAACGCACAGGGCCGCTCCCTTCAGCCTCGGTTTCTCGAGCTCTACAATGAATGATCTAGGAGCGGACGTCCGCCCCCCAGTGGGAGTGGGAGGGTGACGGGGCGGACGCCTGTGAAAAGCTCCACGGAGCCTTCCCAGACATCAGGGCTCACTACAGTTGCCCTGGAGCTTAGACATTTCTCTCTGGACAGGCTTTTTTAGAACGGATGCCCGGGGTACGGCACAGCAGGAGAGGCCGGGACTCCCCGGGAAACATGGCGGCCTCAGCATCAGGGCCGCGGCCCTAGAGTTCTGTGCGCGTGCGCCCGGCCCCGCTCTCTCGCCGCCCAGCTTCGCCCGCGCGTAGGATTCTGGGGCGGCCAAGCCACGTCGCGCGCCAATTGGTGGCGTTCGGGGCCCGCCCTCGGGTGATTGACAGCGCCCTGGCTGCCACCGCCCAGCCGCCGCCGCTGCCGTCGCCGAGTGTGCAGGCCTCCGCTGCTTGCGGGCTGCGTGTCTGCCTCCGCCGACCAGCCTCCGCCATGGACCTGTTCGGGGACCTGCCGGAGCCCGAGCGCTCTCCGGCTGCCGGTAAGTGCGGGGCCGCCCTGCCGGCGAGGAGAAGGGTCCGGGCGGGCGGGCCGGTGGTGGCGCCTGAGGTGGTCGGCGGGAGGAGAGGGCGGGCAAGCGCGCTTGCCTCGGCCGGGCCCCAGCGTGCGCACTGCAGCCCCGGAGCGCTCCGCCATGTTCGCTGCGTAGGAAGAAAGGGCTCTGCTCGAGGCGCGGGCCGGGCGGGGGAGAGGGGGGCCCGCGGCCTTTGTGTGCGGCCCCCACGCGCCGGCAGCCCAGCTTGGGGTAGCTCAGCGTCCGCTCGGTGCAGAGTCCCTCCGCCTTCGCACGTGGCGCGGCGTCAGGGGCCGCTAGCCCGCAGCCCTCCGGCCTGGGTCTGAATCGCTTTTCCCTGGAGCAACGTTTTTCCGCGCGGGCGTGTACAAGTTCAGGGTTTTGTTTTGGTTTGTTTTGACCCCAGAGATTGAAGGAATCGCCAGCGTTATCTTTCGTGTTTTAGAATCATCCTCTGTGCGTCTCTGGTTTTTCGGTTGATAGTAGTTTCCCGGGTCTCGGGAAGTCTCCCTCTCCCCAGAGTCAGGAGCCACCAGCCCAGGTCCACCCATCGCCCGGCCCTGACTGGGGGATGAGTTCCTGCAGGCTGGGGTTTGAGCCTCACGCAGTAGCCGTTGGAGACCAGTGCCTTGGTTATTGCTGTGTGTCCGGGTTTTAATTGGACAAATCCTGCTGACGTTTCCGTGCTGCATGTGCAGGTGAGACCTTACTTCCAAACCCGACTTGTTGGCAGAAAACCTGGAACACTTGAAAAACAAATACAGATTTCCAGGCTCATCCCCACTAAATCGGAAAGTCTGGGGCTGGGCCCTGAGTCTGTTAAGTCCCCAGGGGATTTTGCCGGGCCTGCTCAGCCGGAGCCCGGAGACAGCGGGTTCAGAACTGCTACTGCGGGGGACACGAGGGTGAATAAGAGCCAGCCTTTACTTTCTAAGAGCTTAGTTCTGAATGCAAGTGATTGCAGTGATAACTGGCAAAAGTTACGGACCGTGGGAACTGCTGAGTGTTGCAGGACAGAGTGGGAAGGAAAGCGGTGCTGGAATTGGGCCTCTGCTAGTAAAGACGGGTAGACTTGTGATTGGCAGAGATTCCAGGCAGGCAGCGATATGCGCAAAGGGGGAACATCTAGCCCTCCAGTCGGAGCAGACCAGTGTGGAGGAGCACTGCAACTTGGGGCACTGGAACGGGGTGCTTCTGTCCTTCACGTGGCCTGGATGCTGGCTTGTCACGTGGGAACAGCCTGGCCAGTCTCTGTCTGCCATTATTCCCTGTAAAGGCACCATGCTTTTCCCCAGGGACCATTGTGCTGGTACAGAAGCCATTCCTTTTCTGAATTGTTCTAGTTGTGCATAAAAACTGTGGCTTTGTGTATGCAGTCATTTTTACTTTGTTGTTGGAGTATAACTTGTATCTAACTATGTTTGGGGCAGAGTTTAGATTCACAGATGTGCCTATAAGCTTTTCATTTAAAAAAAATATATATATATATATATATATATATATATATATAACTTTTTACCTGAAATCAATTTGGGCCTGCTTAGAGGAAGGCATCCTTGAGATGATACAACAACCAGACAACTTTTTAAAAAATGGGTTTTTTTATTTTCAGTTACAGTTGACAATATTATATTAGTTTCCAGGTGTACAACATAGTGATCAAACATTTATGTAACTTGAAAATGATCCCCCCATAAGTTTATTGCCCATCTGGCAAAATGCAAGCGTAGTTATTACAATATTATTGACTATACGAGAGGCCTGGTGCATGAAATTTGTGCACAGGTAGGGTCCCTAGGCCTGGCCGGGGCCTTCATTCATTTCATGCCGCCCCCTCGTGGTCAGCGCACGTCATAGCGAGCGATCGGACTCCTGGTCTCCAGGTCAAACTCCTGAGGGGACATTTTGCATGTTAGCCTTTTATTTATATACGAAGGACCCAGTGCACAAATTTTTGCACCTTGAAAGGAACTGTGGACCGCTAGCTGCGGTTGGCACAGGGGCAGGTCTCGGCCCATCCTCTGCACCCCCACCTGGCCCCTCCTGCTGAGGCCCCTGGTCCCTCTGGCACTGCTCCCACTGGCTGACAGTGCCGGCCCCCCTCATACTCGCTGATGGCACAGAGCAATTAGGGCTGGCGCCAGCAGTGGCTGTGAACAGGGCCAGCGCCGTCAGCAGGTGCTAGCGTGGCTGCTGCCCCAATCGCCCCTCAGGAGCAGGGGGAGGTGTAGAAGCCATCAGGGGTGATCAGGGCCAGCAGCAGGTGTGAGCGGGACCGGCATTGGCAGTGGGTGCAAGCCGTGGCTGTGGCACTGGCAGCAGGTGCGAGAGGGGGCGACTGGGCGCTGGCAGCGGGTGCAAGCGGGGCTGGCACTGGCAGTAGGTGCGAGCACCGGATGGGACTGTGGCATGTGGGAGCAAAGAATTTTTAAAAACCACCAGAGGCTCACCCAATGACAGGGACCAGCACCCCACCTGGGTCTGGCATCCCCGCTCACCTGCTCCACCATCCCGCTGCTGCCAACGACCGCCATGTTCCGTGCGTGCCTCCTGGTGGTCAGAGCACATCATAGCAACCGGTTCGATTGTTCCTCTGTTCGGTCTATTTGCATATTAGGGTTTTATATATAGATAGATATATGGATAGGTAGATTCCCTATGTTGTAGTTTACATCCTGGTGAAGATCCTAACAACTTTTTAAAATATGTTTTTATTGATTTTTTAAATGTATTTTTATTGATTTCAGAGAGGAAGGGAGGAGAGAAACATCAATGATGAGAGAGAATCATTGATCAGCTGCCTCCTGCATGCCCCCAACTGGGGATGGAGCTTGCACTTTGGACATGGGCATGTACCCTGACTGGAAATCGAATCGTGACCTCCTGGTTCATAGGCTGATGCTCAGCCACTGAACCATGTCACTGGGCTGTTTTTATTGATTTGGGAGAGAGAGAAACATCAATGTTTGGGATAGAGCCTGCCTGGCCGTGTGCCCTGACTGGAAATCAAACTGGTGACCTTTTGGTGCATGAGACAATTGATGCTCAACCAGCTGAGCCACACTGGTTTACAAGTTGGTAGCCTGTGACCAGCTACAGTGGGGGAGGGCATCTCCAACTCTGGTTGAGGAGCCAGGGGGCTGCATGCATGGTGTTCAAAACCCCCCTTCCCTGGAATGGATTAGTGAAGTCTCCCTGCCTTCCAGAAGGGCACTGACGTAGTCACAGGCCCTGCTTGGCTGTATGTATTTTTTAAAACAGCTTTATAAATAAAGAAGATGTAGATGATGGGAAGCTGAGAGGGGTAAGTCCTAAAAGTGAGTGACAGTATTGGGATCACAGTTCTCTTGACAGGCAGTTAGTTAAACCAACAAGGTGCCACTCTTTGTTTCAGAAATTAAAAATGGAATAAGTGAACAGAAAATAATGTTGGCATCATAAAGTGGAAGGAAGGATGGGTTGAACTAACCATCGTGACCCTCACACATGGTGTGTGGGATCACAAATTTCTGAGCTGTGCAGGAAACAAGGATTATTCAGGACATGTGATCTGACTAGTTTCACATCCCAACTCTGTTCTTATTAACTGCTTTCTGTGGCTGTTCCTGCCACTGTCAGGTAGGAGAGCACTACCTGTACAGGGCTTAGCGCAGGGTGCAGCACGTGCTCAGTAGAGGTGTGTAAGCTCTTAACTTTAACAGCTATTTAAAAGGGGAAAATGCACTCTTAACTGGATTTTGTGAAAACACTAAGTGTCCAATGGGAGGAAATATCACACTGCTCAGATACATCAAGTGTATTTTGTTCTATGATTTTTGTTTTAAACATCACACCTTTAAGCTTCTTAATTATTTACGGTTTGAAAAAATATATATATAGAAAGAACACATGATAGGCATACCTTGGAGATACTGAAGTTTCAGATCCAGACCACTGCAATAAAGCATCTCAAAGTGAGTCAGTAATCTTTTTGCAGGTGGAGGGTCTTGCCTTCAGTTGGTAAAAAAAGGTAATACCTGTGAAGCCCAATGAAGGGGAGCACAGTGAAGCAAGGTGTGCTTATAAATTTTTTCAGATTTTATGCTAAATTAGTATTTTTTTTGTCCCAGTATTTACAGATTTGATTGCTGAATCAGATTTTCGAGCACACAGTAGAAACAGTACAGAGGTTAGGGGCACCAACCTCCCACACAGTGGAAATTTCTGTAACTACATGTATGACTACAGCCTGCCCTCTGTGTGTATGGACTCCCAGCTGCAGAGGTGACTCTTGACCTGTGCGGGTTAGTTAAAAATATCTGTGTGTAAGTGGACATGCACAGTTCAAACCTAAGTTGTGTGTATAGTTTACCAAAAGAGGAAGTATGTTTGTTGATATCAGACAGAAATAACTTCTCAGGTATATCATAGTTCTAGAAGTGCTGTTTTTTGATGTCTTTATTTTTTTGACTTGATGTCTTTTAAATTGACTGCTTTCCTGGGCTGGTGTTCTCAGCTGTTGAGCATTGACCCAGGAACCAAGAGATCACCAGTTTGATCCTGATTAGGGCATATGCCTGGGTTTCGGGTTTGTGGATTTGATCCTTGGTAGGGGGCGTGCAGGAGGCAGCCGATTGATGATGTTTCTATATCCCTCTCCCTTTATCTCTCTCTAAAAATCAATAACAACATTTAAAAATATTGACAGCTTATGTTTGATATTTCAAACAAGTTAAAGGTGTCCTGGTTTAAAGTTACTTTGGCAATAACTCAGTTTTAGTGTTATAGAGTAGTTCTTTCACTTATTACACCAGTACACTTTGCCAGCTGTCAAGGACTAAATACATATTTGCTTGGCAGGCCATTTTCAAAATATTTCTTTTAAAATTGGACATCTATATATAAAATAAATGTTAAGATATTAGGAATAACTTAGACTAATTGTAAGACTTCAGGGTTAAGCAAGAAAAAACTCGTCATAAAAATTA